CAGAGATCTGCTGAATATGGCATTTAAAGTGTTTAACGAAAAGGGCTTCCCATGGTAGACAAGATGCCAGCTGGTAGTGGCAGCCCTAAGGTCTCCTCCAAAGAAGACCACTCCCCGTGGATTGTGGTAACAGAAACCACTGGGGAAAACTACCCCATGCCTCACCCACCTCTAGGACCCTGCCGAGACTGTGGACAGGTGGGGCACTGGAGAATCGACTGCCCCTCTTTGCCTCACTAAGGTAGGCCGGTCTCTCCAGGTCCTCACCCACGGCGAAGTGTCTCGGATCTTTTGGGTCTGGCAGCCAAAGACTGATGCTGCACTGTGTGGCAGCCAAAGAGTTAATGCTGTGCTGTGTGACCACTGGAAACTGAAGCCATCCAGCCCCCATTGATAGTACTGAGGTTGACCAGGAGGAGACGGGGGTAAGAGGGTCATCATCCAGATAGCTGGGAAGTCTCTGTCATCTTACTGATACAGAGGCCATTTGGTTTGTACTTCCTGCTCGATTTTTCCGTCTCAGATCTCTGATGGTGTGGACGGCAAACTGTAGCTTTATCAGTTCAGCAGCAGCAGCCCAGTCAATGCATTTCGAATGTGAAAACCAGGCCTTGCCTTTTCTAGAGCTGTTAGGCCTCTAGGTGAGAAGGGCAAACTCACAGCACGTTTCAATGTAATTGTTTACCTTTCCTCTATTTAATAGAACTTGCTTCGCACTGACCGCTCTTAGCAATCAACCACTTGTGTCTCGTGGTAAATGACTGAATGGAAAAAGGGAAAGGTTTGAGATTTATGCAAGTTGCAAGGTCTGAGAAAACCATTAAAAAATTATAATAAAACTTAGAGACAATATATGATGTTAAGACTTCAAAGGTTCAGAGTGTTAACATATTAATTGATGGAATTTTTTTTTCCTCCGGAGCTGAGGACCGAACCCAGGGCCTTGCACTTGCTAGGCAAGCGCTCTACCACTGAGCTAAATCCCCAACCCCAATTGATGGAATTCTGATAAGCTGTTAATCTGGTTTAGTGAAGGACTGACTGCGATTACAGTCACAAGCTCAAATTTTAAAACTTCCTTTGGTTGTTTTCTCAGTGTAGACTAAAAGGTGTTTCTCATCATGCTAAAAACATCTCTATCCTATATGTGTGTAGGTGTGTGTGTCACACATATAGGATATATATATATATATATATATATATATATATATATATATATATATATCCCTCTGGACAGAGGAAAATGTGTTAGTGCTTTTAACCAACAATTTTTGGGTCCCAAAGCTTTCACTATGACTCAAAGATGTGGTCCACTGCTTTTTTCAACAATTTGGGATTTTGTATAGATTACAAACCGTGGTAATATTAATCAATCTAAAACTTCTCTTTTTGTAAACTTTAAGCTCATGTAAACTTTAGGGAGTTGGAACGTGGATCCACCCGCCCTAGGTCAAACGGACTCCAGATAAGCACTCCTGTCAAGCAATAGCCTAAGTTCCCCACCAACTGGTTATTCCCAAGGGGGGACGTTCTAAATGTAAGATTTTCCTAAGCTTTAACCTCTGTCCCTCGTCTATCTCTGTCCCAGTATATTTCCACTTGGCTGACAGACACCATCCAGGAATCAGCTACAGACTACAAACTGCTCTGAATAGTCATGAGCCCCTGGACTTGCTGAAAGCTGATGTGAACCAGTCCAGTCAATGGGAATGCTCCCTGTCTCTTCAGCTTGGTTAGAAAACCAGATGCAGCACAGACCCTGAGCACAATTAATAAATGGGACCTCTCAAAATTGAGAAGCTTTTGCAGGGCAAAAGACACAGTCAATAAGACAAAAAGACAGCCAACAGAATGGGAAAAGATCTTCACCAACCCCACATCTGACAGAGGATTGATCTCCACAGTATGTAAAGAACTCAAGAAACTAGACATCAAAATATTGAACAGTCCAGTTAAAAAATGGACTTAGCCGGGCGGTGGTGGCGCACGCCTTTAATCCCAG